ATGGCACGAGACACAATATTTTGGGCACGCCATCGATCACAATTGTTATTACACTATGAATTGTTATTACACAAATGTTATTACACTATGAAGCATATGTAACAATTAAAATAAAATTCACAAAAGCGAACAAAATAATAAACAATTATTAATAAAAGAATTAACAATTAATGCTCAAAAAACAATTAATAACCATAAAAAACAAGCTAACAATAAATAACTAGCAAAAAAAAAATAATAATAACTGTCCTGATTAAACTAACATCCTGCAACCTAATATAAGTTATTTGTCATCTAATCTGCAACAACAGAATTCACACTGATGTTACTTTAAGTTGTTTTAAGACATGGCAAAATGTATTTTTCTTTCAATGTAAATAAAGAGTTTTGAGCTGATTATTATAATCAATAAGTATTTAGTATTATTATTTTCCAAATAATCACAAAGTCAAAATTATTTGACGGCACGTCTACGACTTTATTAAACAATTTTTTAGAAAAATTGGCACGTTGGTGTATAAAGGTTCGCCACCCCTGTTCTATAACAATGGCTGTTCTTGACGTTCTGAATTCACATTTATTTATTGGAATGACGAAAGCAATGTTGACTTCAGTTACGAACGACTTTAGTTCGTTACGAAGTTTCACTTCTTCCGCGCGGAGGGACTCCACGGACTATTTTTTTTTAATATAAAGTTTCTTTAAAAAATATATAAATCTTAATAAAAGCAACAAAAAAAGCAACTACTGAATGAAAAAAGACTTATCGATATCGGTTATCGACTCAGTAGTCACTCTTTCCTCAAACATATTAAGTTATTAGAGTCTAACGGCTACTGGCTACAAACTGAAAATCTAAATTTTCAGGTCTATTTTTTTATTTTATAACCGTCGTTGAACAACCGACCCAATTTTTGGGTTTACGACTACTAATGTTCAACTACGTGGCCTTGTAATTTTGAACCAAATCCAGAAGACAAGGGAACTCTTGGATCAAGTATTGGCAGAAATTTGCCTTTGATGGAACCAACCCGCATTTGCGTTACATGGGGTGGAAGACCACGAGAACCTCTCGTGATTATCGTGATGGCCAGGGTACTCTAATCCTTGATACGTCTACCACTGAGGATATTTCTCGTCAGCACTGTGGTCTGTGCAAGTCAGATGCGGTATTCGTAGCGACCAGCCATCGCTAGGATTCGAACTCGGCTCACTTCGATGGAAAGCAGACGCTCTATTCCCTGAGCCATCGCAGCTATCAGGTCTACTTTGTGATGCTTTTTTTTTTTCGAAAAGCGAAAGCAGTTGGCATCCTTGCTTAAAAGGGTTGAAGCTCTGTAAACTTCTTATCTAAATTCTTTTCAAAGTGACTTTTAGTTGACTTAAAATTTGAGAAAGCCCCATTTCTTATTTATTAACTGAGCTGAACATAAACATTTCCACAGTTTCAATCCTTATCACAATTATTTGCAGTTGACAATTTAAATTATTTATTACTTTACAAATCCCATTACACAAATTAACCTTTTAATCTACTGTCAAAATATATATCAATACCAACGTTAGCCCGTCTGTCAGAATTTGAAATCTTTAAGAGAAAACGAATTCTTGAAACACATCCAACTTCTATAAATTCTTTTAAATCGCAACAAAAATGTCCAATTCACGAAGTCAAGGCAACAAAAAGATAATGACCTGCTGAATATACTGTTTTACAGTACAAAACACTGTTATGTCGAACATTAACCCAGCGTCACTTCACGTGCTCATTAGAAACCGTTAGAAGAATATTCTTTTTAACTTTCTTAGACGCTCTGTAAACACATTATTTATTTCTTCATCAGAACTGTTGCGAACATAACTTTCCCTTCTTTAAAATCGTCTGCTTTATTTTCTTCATTTCACTTCTTTTTTACTTTGTAGTCAGTAATAGCAAATTTATCAACGTTCCAGATTTACTTGCCAATGTTATTTCTCCCGCAAACACTATATTCTAGGCTTTTTATTTTCTTTAATGCTCTTTTTAAAATTCCATCTTCATCCTTTCCCTCCCTCTCTCTCCCCTCCACGCTGTCGCTCTCTTCATCTTATGTATTCTTTTTCTCCCTCTTTTTCTTTTTTTTTTTTTCTTTTCAAAACTGCAGGGATTTCTTTTTGCGTGGGCGTTAAAGCAAAAGATGTTTTTTGTTTGATTTTTATTTCTAGACCGGCCTACATGAAAAAGTTTGTCTCCTTTTCGGCCTTACAAGGCTTGGTCGCAGACTATATTGCTCGGTGCGACGAATTATCGCTCTCGAACGAAAAAGCGCGGGAAGTTGAGTTTGTGTTTAGTTTGATCGAAGCTGAGAGAGTGTTAAGTAGTTTTATAATTCAAGAATTATATTCTCGTTGCCGGTGAGTAAACTCTAATTGCTCTAAATCCTTCTCGCTTGTTTATGTTTCTAAATTGACAATTCGTAATATATCTTTTCGCAGAATTTAAGAATTTATATTATTACTCAAAATTATTGGAAAAAATAAGCGTAGCATTTAAATACATTGAAATTTTCAATCTCTTTTTTTTTTTTACTTTTATCATCAATGTACTGGTATATTTTATTTTCAGGTATATAATTCCCAACAAAGAACTGCTAAAGAAATGATTAAAACGATTGACATTTGATAATTTCAAAATATTTAAATATTGTATTTGATCCACCAAAAGACTTAAAGTTTAATGCATAAACATGCTCGAACTATGGATGAGCTATTTATCTCGAGTATATTAACATAATTAACACACCACTCAAACGTTTAAAAGTTATAAAAAGAAAAATAGTGGGAAATGAACAATATGCTATAGGGCACTGGGGCCATGTCCAAGAGTTTGTGGGTTCAATCCCCGCCGGGCCGAAGACTCCCCTTGTAGTAAATGGTGACTGATGCACGTTAAAATCTGTCAAGTTGCAAAGTCCTTTATGTTCCCATAATAAATCAATACCTCTGGGGGTACTGATCCATAAGTTTCCTTGTCTTCTGGATTGGTTCAAAATGACAAGGCTACGGAGGTGAACATTAGTAGTCGTAAACCCAAAATTGGGTCGGCTGTTTAATGATGGATATTAAATATGCTATAACTTGTTTAAAAAAATCGCGCAATCTTTTTTGCAGAAAATATTTAAAAGGAGATCTGTGAACATGCTTAGGGATTTCATTTGTTCATATGTTCAATCATCTTAAATAAATGTTCAAGCACAATAAAAAAACCATTTTATTGTTATATAGTTTATTGAAAAAAATCTTATTGAAAATTTACAAGCGTCGAAATGAACATGCTTCGTATTTTTCAATGCTCAAGCATGTTAAAAAACCGCTGAAGTGTTTGAAGGATGAAGGACACTTGAACATGGTTCAAACATAGTTTTGTTAACATTCACAATTATATAGTTTTTCTCTCCCTCTCCTTTTTTTTTAATGAAAAGATTTGTGATTGAAGTGATGTACGACAACTATAAACCTAACACACGAACGCTCTCCTGATTTTCCCAGCTGCCGAATCTCCATCTTTCGCTCGAGAATTTTTTGTAATTTATGAAGAGTAAATGTATAAGTTAACATTTCACCATTGCTGAGCAATATTTATTCACAACAATTTTGTCCCCTATTACATATAAATTATTTAAATAAATGTAAAAATTTCTAACAATATTAAGAGTATATATAGTATATATAGTAGAGACAATATAAAAAGTATTAAGAGTTTGTTTAGTTAACACTAGGTTGCCTAGGGAAGTCATTTTGACTGCTTTTAATTTCAATTAGAGAAACAATGATGTATATAATGACACAATTTCTCAGAATTTTGTGACTTTCTGTAGCGCATATAATTTTTTTTATTGTTAATATTTACTAATAACGTATTATATAACTGTAAATAATATAAAAAATGTTAAAAATTAATTTTAAACAAATTTATTAACGCATTCACAATCCAGTCCTTTTGACTGCTATTGGGCAATATAGGTATATACTAATTTTCCGTCTTTCTAGTGTTAAATTAATTTAAAAAATAAAACAACAACAAAAAACTCGAAATTCACATCGCTACTACCGTTAGCCACTAAGAGTTAAAAACGATAATTATACATTTCATGTGTTGTTATCAGACACAACCACAGACAGGGTTGCTACCACCTGAAGAATAAAAAACAAGATTTGGTAATTAAGACATTATTAAATGAAACTGCAAAATAATATAAGCACAGAGATGCCAACTTGCTCCGGACAGCAAATATATATTTTAAAGTGGTAGTTTATCAATTGTGATTTTTGGTTTAATAAATTCAATTTAGTAGATTTTTATCCACCACTATTTCTAAATAATTCGTAGGCCTATAATATTCACCACTTTATAGTACTTAAGTCATGTTATGCCTTTTAAAAATCATGCAAAAATAGTCCAATATATGCAAAATTTACTTTTGTAGTTAACTACCGTTTTTTTAATTACTTTGACTTTTCCGGAGCAGTTTGCATCTCTGTAAGTATTCATTAGACCAAGATTCACGAATCTTGTCTAATTAAGGATTCAAAGGGCTGATTCATCCGATATCTGCCGTATAATGGATATAGGACCAATATTAAAAAATCTAGACATCCCAATTTTGGTGCATGTTCATATCAGACTCATATTGAGCCAATTCTGGGGTTAAGGTAATAATGCTGTTGCTGGGGAAAATTTTAAAAAGAGGGTTTGAATTATTTAACCGTTTACCTGCCGTATTCCAAATTTGTAGCAGTGAAAAGAGTGTCTTAATAAAAAAATTTTAGCAGGAGTTCATAAAAATGAAATAGAAATTTTCTTTAATCAGCTCCAAATTTGGTTAAAACCATTACAGCTGCTTGAGTTTAATATAGAATTATAAATTACAGAATAGAATTTTAAATTAATATACTCCGGCTGTTCGGAAATTCAGATTATACAATCGTAAAAACTGAGAATGGAAGATTTGCGTAATCGTTAAAAAAAAGAAATGTTCCAAAAATGGAACACTGGTGATTAATCGGTAAACTATCTGCAACCGAATTTTATAATTTCTAACTTGAAAATAGTTTTGTATAACTTGGAAGCGTACTACTTAAAATATCTATAATTTTTACATTTTTTCAACCACATTAAAAGAAAGTACTAGAGATCGTAGCTACCCTCATGTAATAACATAAAAAAAGAAATAAAAACACTTAAGCAGGGCTCGAAGAAAGTCAGAAATTTTACCCGTCCCCGAGGACGGATTGTCCAACAATGTACCCGTCCTCCTTTGAAACTAACCCGTAGCTTCTAATTAAATAAAAGTATAATTTTCTCTTATTTATTACAACCATTTATATAAATTGCACAATGAATTAGTAGTTGCTAGGATTACAAATACTAGGTTACTAATAGTAAGACCTAGTATTTCTTTTATGAAATAATTTATTTCTTTAATGAAATAATTTAAATGACAAAGGTCAAGTTATCTGGAATGTCAATTTATCCGAGGGTACTTCGTTTTTTAAATGAAACAAATATGACGTTTGCCAGTTCCACAATCAAGGCAATGATTTACAGAGGTTTCTGCACAGAAATCTGAAAGGGGTTTTCCATTTAGGTGGATGTTCATAATTGCGTTTAACGCTTCTTGTTTAAGACCAGTACTTAATGTGTTTTTTTGTAAGCTCATTGCTGAAAAGCCTCTTTCAACCACTGCAGTACTCCCAGACAGAGAATACATCAATTCCAATAAGAGCAGTATGTTGCTGTATTTCTAGATTATCGGGTCATTTTAGAAGTGAGGCGCTAGACTCTTGTAAGATAACAAAAATTGAAAATGTATCACGAATATTAACGGGAAAATGGCCGTCCGCGCGGACGCCGGATTCGAGATATTTGTTGTCCGCAGGGAATTTTTGACCGCCGAGGACGGGCGGATGGGTGGTTTTTCGAGCCCTGCACTTAAGTATTTATTTCATAACATGATAATGTTATCATTTTCGGGTTTACTACTTTCGATGTTCTAGCAGCAGCTTTGTAGTCTTAAACTAAATCTTAAAGACAAAGAAAACTCCCCGTCAGAAATTAACTATAACAAGGAGTATTTTTCTCCATTTTTAATTTCTTAATAATACTTAGAAACAGAACTTTTATCAGTGTTTGCGAACTAAGGCAAGTTAAAATTATAACTTTAAAGCTAAGTAGACTACTAATCAATTTTAATATCATTAAATTTCACACAGTTCAGCATATTGATTAAATAAAAGATAGCTGCTTACTAGCTTTATAATCAAATGAGTACTTTTATTATAACATTTAAACATCAATTCAAAAAACACTAAACCATTGGTATTATTTCATTTATACCAATGTCTGTTAAATCCATAAGTACCCACTAACAAAATTCACCTGAACTTTGTAAGCATTATTTTCATGAATAAAATTCTGCATAAAATGTTTTTAATAGTTCATTTAATTAAAATTCAATTAATTTAATTAAAATCCAATCAATTAAAGAACATTTTTATGCGTTATGTTGGTAATATAATCCTTTTATGTCCAATCCAAAAGTACTTCTTTACATCAAGGATTACGAAAGTGATTTTAAAAAGAAGTGACTGATAGTTAACAGATAGTTTTGTTTTAGTTAAGAGATAGTTTTGTTTTAGTTACGGCATAGTTTTGTTTTAGTTTCTTGTCAAAGGTAAACACTCTGACAAATGTCACGAACAAACAATTTATGCAAATAAAGTTGCTTTTAGAAAATTTTCAATAAATGAATTGTAAGAATATTTTTTTTTCTTATATTCTTTATTCACTCCAATATTTTTTTCAAGTAAGGCTGAGTTAAGCAAAAGTTTTATAACCAATAGAATTTTTTTAAGCGTTTTATTATCGACGCTTCTAATTTTATTTTATTTTATAACCGTCGTTGAACAGTCGATTCAATTTTGGGTTCAACTTCGTAGCCTTGTAATTTTGAACCAATCCAGAAGACAAGGGAACTCTTGGATCAAGTATTGGGAGATATTTGCCTCCGAGGAGTACTTTTTTGATGAAACTGACCCGCATTGGCGTTACATGGAGAGGAAGACCACGAAAACTTCCCACGGCTTGCCTGATGGCAAGGGGACTCTAACCCATGATCCGCTTACCACTGAGGATATTTCACGCCAGCATTGGGATCCGTGCAAGCCAGGGGCGAAATTCGAATCGACCATTGCTGTGATTGCACCGAATTGTGTTCCATTGCTGTGATTGCTCCGAATTGTTTCTGTGATTGCACCGAATTGTTACGTCAGCATTGTGTTCACAACGAACACAATGCTGACGTAAAATATTCTCATAATGGATCAGAGTCCCCTTGCTATCAGGCTCACCGCTT